CCCAGTAGATAGTCGTATGTGTGCAGTCCGTCTGAACGGGTTAGTTAGAAGAAGGAAGTATGGTGTTATCCATCGTTGTCTTTTCGTAGTCTCCGCTTACGCCGCAACAGACTGCAGTTCGGATGAACTAAAGGATGGCTTCTAGCTGAAACTGTCTAATTTGCTGCAAAAAGCAAAGCGTTCAGATATAGCTGTTTTGGAAGGCGACTTCAGTGCCTAAGTAGGGAAGTTGTGACAGACTGAGAAGTATGTAGGTGATATGTACGGAGTACCCTTCCGACTAACCGATAATCGTGATTGTCTTCTACAGTTCTGTTCAGATAATCATCTGCTCCTAGTCAGCACTAACTTTAAGCACAAAGAGAGACATTGTGTAACCTGATAACCTCCATCATCATATCAACGTTGGACTCAGAAAGACCACATAGCGATAGGGTATCGTTGGCTAGAATCAGTAGGAGACTGCTGCTCCTTCTGATCACACCGTGGTTCGTGCATGTTTATGCTTACGATTAAACGGACATAAAAAAATTGTTGGCAGCGAAGCAGCTGCATCCCCAACTAGATCGAGACTCTGAGTATCTATTTAAGGAAGAAACAACGAAACGAGTACCTGAGGTCGACAGCAGGACTTCCCCGGAGGTAGCCCAGTAAGCCTTAGACACAGCTGTGAAAGCTGTTAATAAGCTAAAACATTAAGTTAGTGAAAGCCATTGAATCTCTACCGCCTCATCCGAACTGATTGACGGAAGACTGATTTCGGTGAGCTCCGATTATGACGAGGAGTACTCAAACGCAAACTAACAAGAAGTCTTCGCAACGACCGTGAACAGTGGTGGGCGACAAAAGTGAAAGAGATGGAAAAGGCATCGGTGATTGGTAACAGCAGACAACTATTTAGGCTGATCAGGGAAACAGGTGGTAATAGGCAAATGATAAGTGAATCAATCTCTGAGAAAAATGGCACCATAATTAGCTCCCAGGATAGAAGACTGGAAAGAACACTTTGAGGAGCAGTTAAACTGACCTACAGCCACGCTCAGCTTGTCGAACACCCAACACCTCCTTGAATGGGATATAAACACAGGTCCTCCGTCCCAAACTGACGTTACTAAGGCTGTCACTAATCTGAAGCGAGGTAAAGCAGGAGGACCTGATGGAGTGACTCCAGAGGTATTTAAGTACGGTGGAGACAGTTTACTGTCTGCGTTAACTGAGGTACTAGGCAGTGTCTGGGAATCAGAGGAAGTCGCGTCGGGCTGGTCTAAGTCATTGATTATCTCAATATACAAGAAGGGAGACAAATCTTCCTGTGATAATCACAGGGGATTAGCTTGACTAATATGCTATCTAAAGTTCTAGGCTCAGTAATAACGCGTAGACTAAGCGGTTCACGGGAGAAACAAACACGAGTGAACCAGGCAGGCTTAATACCAGGAAGAGGGTATGTCGACAATATCTTTACCCTTCGACAGATTCTGGAACACAGGAATACTCACCGGCGTCCAAAAATCGTTACATTTCTTGATCTAAAGGCGGAATTCGATTCTGTCGACCGAGAAATACTCTACCGATGCTTGGCTGTAAAGGGAATGTCTGGAAAATGCATTGCACTGATCAAGGCACTCTACTCGAACTCATGCAGCCAGGTGAGAGCATACATCGAGTTGACACACTATGACGGTAAACTGTTCATAGTCAAACCTCTATCCAAACAACCTCTCTGACACACTGGGACCTGTAGGAACATTAATTTCAGCCAGTGTAGTTCGTAGGGTCATTGTGATATGCCACCCCGACTGTCACATCACGGCAGCAGTCATCGTTCGGGAAATAATTGCAATTTTATGCTTGAATATATTGAATTTCACCATATAATTTTGCACATTGCAGTCGCTTTTCAAACGAACTGACATAATTGTATACTTAATACATACAGAAGATAAGAGAAATCCAGGTTTTGTTTCTGCTATGTGATCTTGTGCACATGAGTTGGGGGAAATACTACCGTTCATAAGGATTTATTTGACAAAACCTTTAAGACATGATAAAAGATATGACTTTGATTTCTGTCATATAAATGGCACAGATTACAGTCACTTAAAACCACGTCTTAGTGCATTGTGTTTTTCTTAATTCCTTTACGTTCGAAGTGTTACTTTTACGCTTTAGGGCTTCCAGCCTCACACCCATTGTTCACTCTGCTCCTGGCTTATTACCAGTTCAGTGAGGTTTAGGAGTGTATCAGCCGGGAACTGAAAAATGACCATATATTGGGCTCGGAAAGTACCTTGCCACTGAACCTCCGACGCATATATATATATGGCCGTCGCGGATAATACTTTGGCGTTTGAAACGATGAATGCACGGTTTGAATTCCAGTGTGGACACTATCACTCACTGGGGATGACAGGTTCCTCCAGATGTGACAAGTCCTAAATGGGACAAAATGAGCATCCTGAATTCCACTGCTAGTCACCACCACCAACTAAAAGTGTTACATATGTCCAAACCAAGTTCACTTTTAACATTTTGAAAAAATTTGGGCATTGGGTGTATGATATTCATTATTGTTATGTACTGGTCGAGAATTTAATAGTCCTGACGCAAGAAAGATGGAAATCAGAAGACCACTAGGTTTGCGATGATACTTCTATTTTCCAAACACAAGGAGAATCAATATGTCACACAAGAGTGTGAGAGCAAAAATATATATGAATGCCGAACAAGTGTGTGAACACAAGGTGAGAGCGAATATTCAAAATGAACAAATCAATAGACAGTCTTAACATGATTGGCTAATTATAATGGAATATCGATCCATATATACATAGCAAAATATATCAGACTGCCAAACAAACACACCTATTATATGGATACATATCACCAAGATCAGACTGTCAAACACACATATTATATGGATATACATATATCAATTATAATAAAGGTTTTTGTACTTTCTCAACCCCTTAACTCTTTGTTATGTATATGCTGAGTGGATTTTGTAAATTCCGGTTTAATAATACTTTGATAAAGCTATTAGCAGCATTAAATAGCGAAACGTCAGTAAAAAAACAATATCGTTTTGTCCTTCATTCATTGGGAAATACAAAAACCTTCATTATAATAAAATAAATGTGTGGAGAAGACTAAGCGTAATTAACATTGCAGAGATAGTCTTCATTAAAAGACTGTATGATTTGACGTTTCTTAATATGGGCAGGACAAGGTGACCGAGATTAGATAGTTTCATTATTTAATTAATTATTTCAAATTTAATTTTGTCACATCGCATAACTTAGTAATGACTGCTATTCACACACATACTGAGAGACACTTGAATTCTCCTTTAAATTTTTCAATCCATATGTTTGCTTAAGCGACGTTGAATTCATAATCATTACACCTACTTGTTCTGACGTCTTTTCATCTCGAGATATATCTATCATATGATGTGAAAATATGAGCTTTACGAACACACTGCGTCTTTTTGGTGTTTTAAACTTATAGTGTATTGGCAACGTCATTTTACCATTAAACAGTTATGGTATACATCCCTTAACTTTGAGATTATTTAACCCTAGTAACACATTAAATGTTAAGACAATTAGCACTTAATGACAAGCTTATTTTAATCCTATAAAAACATATTCAACACTAGATCAAATTCACAATTTACACAGTTCAAGTAGTGAAATTTCATTGTAGTTTCCTTTGGTAACCAATTTGCACATTATGAATTTGATTTCTGGCATGACTAGTTCGATCAACTAGCTAGTCAGAAATCAGGTTGTTTGAACTGAGTTAGCTTTCTGAGCTGAGTCAAAACCTGGTACACGACTAATGAGGAGTTCGGTCTCAACCCTAGCCGAGCGAAACGACCAATCAGTGTTTAGATTCATTTTGATCTGGCTAGCAAGCACTTCTGACTGGTTGTGATGTTGAATGGTATTCAACGACTCATCTCAATCAATCAACAGTATATAGTTCTATGCAGACATATTCATCATCAAACTTTTTTATTTGAAAAGGGTGTTGAACTGATCCATTCAATGTACGGTGTATACTGCGACTAGTTGTTCATAACAATACGAATAAAATTCAACATCCACAAAAATTTTTAATAGATAATTTGTAAGGATTCGATCTGTTTCAAATTTGGTCACGGATTTAATGTCAGTTAGAGAACCATCATTGAAAATCAGGGAGTAGTAGTAATGGACGACTGTTTCGTCCTAGTTCGAGATTCGTCGCTAGTACTTATGTATCCACGATTCCGCTAGGGATCTATAACCCCTCATTGCCTATTCCATTTACTTACTCAGACCGGAATCCGATGACCCATGAATTCTAGCTTCTGTCAATTTGTGATTTTAGCGCAGCAGCAACCACTAGTCAATCTGATTGGTGAGTATTTGTCCTCATACCCCACTACCTGTCCTGGTGGACTCCACTGCCCAGCATACTTTCTAGTGTTCGATGGTTCTCCAACTGATATCACTTAGTGATTAAACTTGATCCAGCAAAGAAATACCACCTTTTATTTAAAATAATAATAATAATAATAATAGAGGATGTACACACAGAAATGATAGAAAGATTTCAAAGAAATATAAACATGAGATTTATTTACAATTGTATATATAACAAAACACTATATAATAATTTCAAAAGAGGAACAATTTACACTAGTTTTTAAAAATCCGAAGGATTTCCTTTTGTTTGTGTGTGTGTGTATTTCTGTAAATGCTGTATTAACAAAATTGATAACTTTATAGAATACAAAAATAAGAAATGGTAAAAGGGGAATAGGCAAATGTCATAATAGTCACTTGATTCAACAAAGGTCCAGAGAAAAAAAGGCCAAGATGAACCCTACTTATATATATATATATATATATATATATATATATATATATATATATATATGGAAGAATTCAATAAACAATTCAGTAAAAGATGCAAGCGTCGTTGTATCAAGAGAGGTAGATCCGCGCATACTACCAATCAAAACTGTAAATAGAGCTACTATCCAATGCTAAAATAGCAGGATCATTGTATACTATACCACTTTTATCACTCCAGCTTGTACGATGAATTAGAACTGGCGGGGAACATGATACAGCGTGTGATATAGGATGTGATAGTCGTTGGACATCAATCACCTTGCCTGTTTGTAAATTCCATATACCAATATGATGATTTGGTAATAATGAACAAGCCATAGTTTTTTGTAAAACTGGATCAATAACTGGGAAAGGTGGAATATGTGATGATAATGACATGAATGTAGTACCATTTGAACCATAATATTCAATAACTGATTTATTAGGGAAACGTTCATCCCATAATTCAATTAATCCACATCTTCGGCCTACAATAAGACCTAAACGATCACCAGAATATGTACCAAGGCATTGTAAACTACTTATCTCCATATTTGCATTTGTAGGTATACGTTGTGCAAATGTATTCCAATAACCTGTTTGAAAATTAATTAGCTGAACACTTTTATGAGGAGTTAAAGATGGTTCAACCAATGACAAAAAGCCTTTCTCATTTAACACACCAGCCACATACAATAGAGGTTGTCGACCATTTACAGAATCGATACACTTCTGTACAGAATCAAATGACTTCCAAAATGAAGCTTCACAACAAGCTGTAAACATAAGTCTATTTCTACGATTCCTGACTGATTGACCCATAGGGTTGCACACATATAAAGGACTGCAATCCAAGCAATCGCTTATATATATTTGATTTCTAGTCAATATAGTTAAAGAATGAGGATCGTGCAGTTTGTTATAAGCAGAATTTTCGGGTACTAGATAAGGTGAAGTGAAGCGAAATAAAGAACAACTGGATGGGGTAGTTAACTCTGGTGTCAATGAGTAAGATCCATCTAAATAAATAGAAAGAAAAAGAAATAAATATATAACTACGCAGAGTAATAAATATTTCATTGATAAAAAACATAAAAATGTTACATGATTCAAGGTATTAAATTTACACGATAAACCAGAAAATACCTATAAGAGAAAAAGAAACCAGGATTTATTGACCCTTAGGAACATTGAGCTCGAAATTCTTAACGATTTATTACGAACTCACTATGTGGATTTGAAAAGTCGACATTATTAGTCTCTTAGCTCCAAACTCTGAAGACGTTTATCAGGAATGTTGACAATACCAGCTAACGAGTTCACGAAATCGCAACTATATTAATATTGTTTCCTTTAGTTCCTAGAGGAACACATAGATCTTAAGCCGCACGTCTCCATTGCGTTCGGTTCTCTGCTAACGTTTCCACCTGGCTCCACGTCTGCTCACATGCTTTCATCTCCTCTTTGCATGACCTCCTCCATGTCAACCTCACACTGACGACCAACTCACCGTTATCCATTCGGGTACCACTCGAGCAATGGTCTGGAGTTTGATGTCACTTGATAGATCGTTTTCTCAGAGTATGGCCAATCCACTTCGGTTTCTTCTTGCATATTTGCTGGACAAGTGGTTCCTGGTTGGTTCGTTCCCAGAGATCCCTGTTGCTTATCTTTCTTGACTATCTCATCTTGAGTATTGAACGAAGACAACTGTTGATGAAAGTCTGTAGTTTGTTCGAAGTGCCCTTCGTGATGCGCCCAGTCTATGATCCGTATAGGAAAACTTTTATTCGACGCCAACCAATTAAACTGTCAGGACAAAAGATGAAATTTCAAAACTCATTGGTGATGATATGGTATAAATACATTCTTCCATAAACGATCCGGCACGGCCAAGGGTGGACAGACTTCTACCTACCTCCTGAAATACCCTTATATGGCCACACATTCATAGCCTCTATCAGTCTTATTCTGTCTTCACGGGGTGGAGGTGTCCCTCACAAGAGTGAAAGGGGAAACCCGGACGTCTGACGCTGACAAACGGAGTCGTGGTGGACATGCTGGTCACCTACCCTGGGAGAGCTGCGAAATCCTGATTCCAAGTCTGTGGTGTAGATGAGCTCCAGAATCCAAACGGATCGAATGGTGTGTGAACCTATTTTAGCCCTGGAAACCACAGGAGTGTAGCTTCTAACGCTGCTCCACTGTGTTATGGGTCAGACTTCAAGTCAAAAACTCGTGGGCTGGTGGTCCCTTTAAGACAACCAGCTGCTTCAGTCTGGACGGACAGCCAGTATACCAGCCCTGGGGCAAAGTATGAGATTTCGTGTGGCGCGTGTCTTGGTACCACCCATAATGTACCACCACGTTTACGTTCCTTTGATAATAATAGAAGTAAATGTTTCATTAGTGAAAACAGTGTTTTCCAAAAATCTAATAGTTTTGTTGTCAGTTATACTAAATAGTAGATAAAGGTTTATATTCCATTATTATAACCTTTTATATTAGATACCTCACTGTAAACTAGCAGTGTTGACTATACTGTTTCAGGAATCGATTTACTGATAGCCAGTAAAAAAGTCTCTGTGATCTAGAGTATACACAGTAGATATTATCCTTTAATATGGAGGATTGATAATACATGGTCGTCTTCTGAACAACTTAGACAACAATCACAGTATGTTTGGTAAATGATTTTCCCTCGCCCTCCCCACAGACCTGTCAAATGTAATATTATATTACAACAGCACTAGTTTGCATTGACTCCTACTTTATTAAATGTGATAGGAAATGAAGTGATCAGATATAATGAATACTTTATTTTCCTCCAGAGTTGCAGTGCTGTCGTCGGTGGACCGATTGTTGAAGAAATATAAGCGCATTAACAAAAAGCTTGTGTGGCATTTATTGTAATGTGTACCACATTTGGTACGGATATCACATCCAGCTGCCTACTAATTTATTTATTTAAACGCATAAAAAACTTGGTACAATATGGCACCATGATGAATGCGCCACACAATAATAATAAAACAACATAGATCAAAAGAAAAAAAGAAGGAAAAGAAAAAAATACATACGTAGAGAACGGATAAAGAACTTCATCTGGAAGGAAAACAGTCATGCTTAACAAGTTCAAACAGTGTTCGTTAACTATCATCGGGAAGGGAAGAAAGAGGGAAATTGCAACACATTCGCCATTGATTACGACTCTTGGCCATATCCGATAACATTTCGAACCATCGATTTGAGCTATCTCTCGGACCCCAACCAGGGAGTCGTGACACACCAACCGATGCTAATCCAGGACAAAAATCCTTCATCTCACAACGCCACGTCATGGACTGACCACCTCTCCGCCTTTTCCATCCCGTCCCAGGGCTAGCGAAAAGAGACCTATACGGAAGCCTCTGGGGTGACATTCGCAGTACATGTCCAAGCCACCGGAGCCGGTGTTTCCAGATGACGACATTCAATGAATGGTGATCTCCACTGTGTTCAAACACACACACGCCGCCGAAACTCAGAATTACTCACGCGATGATGCCATCGAACGCAAGCAATCCTGCGGAGACAGCGATGATCGAACACGCAGAGTCGCCGAACATCCTCAGCCTACTCGGAGAGGCCAGGTTTCACAGGCGTAGAGCAGGGCAGCCCGCACCGAAGCATTGTATACCCGACCTTTGACAGCCAGGCTAACGTCGCGACGGCGCCAGAGGTGGCTCAAGTTGATGTATGCCACCCTAGTCTTCATTATACGGTTGGAAATCTCATCCGTCACCCCTCCGCCAGCACTCACACAACTACCCAGGTACACAAATTTATCAACAACTTCAAGCGGTTCACCCGCAAGAGTGAGTACAGGTACCCTCCTGCCAATCCTGCCTACTAAAGGATGTATGAGCTAAGCAAGCATAGCTGACTGAGAAAAAAGAAGAAGATACTAGTGATTTCTACCCTAAATATATTTGTTCAGTTTCCTGTGCTTGGGTGTGCAGAATTTTCCATGCTTAACTAAGATGTAATGGATCAATATGTCTCAATATTCTACGATACTTTTTACCTGATTGTTGATTTCAAACTTATAAGTATAGGGAAGGGGTAGAATAAGATGATCTGTTCTTATTAAAATAAGGTGCCTAGTGTGTCAGTGTTAATGAAGGACGGATGTAAAGAAACATTCCATCATCGCCTAATCTCCATCTATTTTTCCAGATGTATAGTTTAATGGATAGCATCAACAAGACAATCGAATCAAACGATTGATGTAATATATGTCAGACATCTACTCTAATTGTGACAACTGTCTGTTTTCGACATAGAACTTTGCACAAATGTGCGGAAGTTCAAGTCGCCACACTCCCTCCATGTACCACACAAAGCAAGAGAAGAAAGTACAAGAAAAGCATAATAGAGAAAGTAAGAAGAGGTGTGAGACAAAGGAAGAGTGATAACGAAGAACAAAACAGTTTCATTGGAAATCATAAATCAAAAGGAGTGGATGCATCTCCGCCACTGTTGTAGATTTAATTGACTGGTGCCAAGTTTTTGTTTGACCGCCGCTAGCTTTTTTCCAGCATGACCCCTATATCCGCTAGCATTACTCGTCGAGGAAGGCGATGACTAGGCATACGTAACACATGTCTTAACCATCTCAGTCTTTGTAACTTCACGACTTCGTCGACTGATTTCCCCTGTTTACCTAGAACTCGACGCCTAACCTCAATATTGCTCACCTTATTATGCCACTTCACACGGGAGATAGAACGCAGGCACCTATGATCAAAGACAGCTAATCTTTTCATGTCTTCCACTCTCAGTGGCCAGGTCTCACAGCTGGCCATAAAGGAGGACGGAGCGAACTGATGAGCAGTACACCCGCCCTTTGGTCGATAGCCAGCTGGATATCTCGTCTACGCCAGAGACGGCGTAAACTGGCAAATGCGAAACAAGCCCTCTGTGTCCGTGCCGAGATTTCGTCAGAGATCAACCCGTTGTGATATCACAGCTCTTTATCATTTTCTCTTATGATTTTGTCTTTTCTTTTTTTTGTCTCTGCTACATAACTAACATTCACCATAGTATGCCGATTGTTGTGAACTTTTCTTATAATACGTATCTAATCATATTCATATCCCTACCGCTATTAACACTCTTTTTTCCCTTTATACGTTTAAGCCATTTCGGCTTCATTGTAAAATGAATAAAGCCTAAATTCTTGGTTCGTTCGTCTTTTCAAGATTCAAGCATCACTCATCGTTCTAAGACTCAGTCACCTTCGTAACACAGATATGAACCGTAATTATTTGAACTATTAAATAACACAGTGTCAAAATAATCGCGTTGATAATTTCCCTTCCAGAAAAAGTAAAAGTAAAAAAAGTAATATCGCAAATCCCGTTTATTAACATACCAGTTAATTCACAAGATGTGAATGATTTTCTTAAGAAGACAGAGAAAAAAGCCCTACCGTAATGATAAATACTAGAAGTCAATAAAAATTTGTTAAAAATTGAAAATAATATATCTAACCAACTTAAGTAAGAGTAGTATAAAAACCAGAAAACTTTTTGTAGTTGTGTTTAATAACTAAAAATAGCATATTTATTTTAAATTCTTACCTGAAACATCAAAAGTGATTAAAACAACTCTCAAACCGGACTCGACGAACAAAATAATTTTACGTCCAGGTACATACCAACAGAAATCAAGAAAACGAAGGCAACCAATATTCTCTGGAACAATAGTTTTGATGCCATACAATTCAAATCTGGGCTGATTTTCAATTGATGATTCATCGATACACCATTTGAAAGAAAAAATTCGCACTGAATCAGAGTTGAGTGAGCAAAGTAAATTGTGATTTGGACACACTAAAGCATTACGGATCGGTCCTCTAATTGGAATCACTTGTCTACACTCTTTATTTCGCATATAACAATGTGACCAGTCATCTGGGAGAAAGCGCGATGTGTACGCAATTAAATTAAATATGAATGAATATGGTTGTAAAAATGATAAAATACTTAAGACATATGATTACATGATGACTAAATTGCAACACTTGAAAATTAATCTAACGCCAACACTAGCGACGGAATCGCGTAAAGCCATAGTGGAAAGTTTTGACCAGTTAAGTCCACCAAGTTGGGTGTGAGGACAAATACGAAGTGATAACACTGGCTCGCAGTGACGCTACATATCGCAATTTGATACAGGTCGGAATTCATGGGCCACTGGATTCCTCCTCATTGTTTGGATGGTCTACGAGCTCATCTTGTAAGCTGAAAGTCCTAGATCCGATCCCTAGTGCAGTCGTGGGTGCGTACCGATAAAAAGTTCCGAACTAGGACGAAACAGCTGTCCACTACTCTCTGATTTCAATGGTTCTCTGCCTGAAGTCATTTCGTGATCTAAGACGGAATTTACTTACAATACTTAAATTCAATCTACAATGGACAAAATTCACATTGATAAAGTTAAATATATTGTTACTCTATATAAGCATGAATTCTAAAGTGGACAACAATGCTGGTACTTTTAAAAATTAAGTTTATCCCATAACAACCAGTTAAATTTGACTAATTAAATTCATTGAAAATTCAGGCCAATATTAGAAAAATGAATATATAAAGGATTTCAGATCCTTCCACTATTTTGTCGAATGAAGCATAAATACTTGTCAACGCTTAAATAAGCTGGACGGATTCGTGAGAAAAAAGGAAGATCACGATACCCATCAATGTCTTTTTATAATCTTAGCTTACGCCCCAAATGACTGCAGTTCAGACAACATAAAGAATGAATTATATCAAAAGCTGTCTAGTTGACTTTTGAAAACAAAACACAGGTGATTTCAATGCCAAAGTGGGAAAGCGGTGATTGATTTCAACAGCCTTGTTCACGTAGTTGTCTTTTCCTGGTTAGCACTAACTTTGAATATAAGGACTTCCATCATTATCAAATCAACGGAGGACTAAAATAGACCACATAGCGATAAGCTATCGATGGAGAGGGTTGGCAGAAGATTGCCGTTCCTTCCAAAACACCCGCGTATGTTTATTCCCATGACGGAACGGGAAAAGAAAACTTGCAGCTATGAAGCCGACACACTTCTAATGTGATGAGAACACCAAGTCTCCACTCAGGGAAGAAATAGCTGACAACATATCTGAGGATGACAGCAAGACTCAACCTGAGTAAGCTGTAGAAATAGTGGTATAGGCTGTTGATAACCACAAAACAAAAGTGTAGTAAACGCCAGTGGATTTCTGTTAATACATTCGAACTGATACACGCTATAAGACTAATTCTGACGGGTTCCCAACAAGATGAGGAGCGAAATCTGATAAGGCTGACTAAACGTCTCCGCAACATCCATGGCTAGTGGTGGACAACCAAAGCCAGAGATGGGAAAGGGATCGAAGGTAGCGCCAGAGAACTATTTAGACCCATAAAGGGGAACCGTTTGTAAAAGACAGGGAGGCAATCTCCGAGAAAAGGCGCAATATAGTTAGCTCTCAGGATAGAAGCCTGGAACACTGAAGGAAACATTTCGACGAGCAATTTAAGTGGCCTAGAGCCAGGTTCAGTTCGTACTGAGTTCAGAATTTACCTGATTGGGAATGTAGACATTTACCCTCCAACTGTAACTGCTGTTATAAAGGAAGCTTTTAATCCGAAGAGAGGAAAAGCAGTGGGACCTGATGGAATAATTTCAGGGGTGTTTAAGGATGGTGGTAAGAACTATTGACCGGATTAACTAGGATATTAGATAGTGACTGAGAATCTGAGATAATTCGATTAAAATGGTGTAAATCATTGATTATCCCAGTTTATTAGAAGGCATACGAATCTTTCTGTGATAATTACAGTGGGATTACATCGACCAGCATCGCATCTTAAGTTCTAAGTTCAATAATAATGTGCGGACTGAGCGATGCTCGGGGGGAAAAGAAACCCTGAAAAAGTCAGGTTTTGGTCCAGGAAGAGAGTGTATTGGTCAAGTCTTCCCCCTTGGACAGATTCTTGGATGTAGGCACATTTACTGGCATCCAATACTACCCATATTCCCTGACCTGACAGCAGAATTTGACTGTGAAGTGCTGCGGCAATGTCCGTCAGTGAAGGGTGGGTCGAGAAAGAGTATTGCACTAGTTAAGACACTGCTCAAATTCATGCCGATATCCAATATCCAATATCGTTTTTACGAGCTAGTATAAACCAATTTGATTTCTTTGTGCTCGCTTCTTGATTGTAAGGTATAGGTTCCTGATCTTCGGTAAACTTCTGCGTAGCTTGTCCCGCCACTCGACTGTCGTAGCTTTGGTTGACTTCAAAGGGAGTAGTGCTGGGATTAATTATGTGTGGTTTGTAGTATGAGGTATGTTAAGACTGTTACTACTGTGATTGGAGTTGATCCTTTCGCCAGTTAGTCCTTCGATATCGTCGACAAGAGAAAAGAGATAGTAATAATAATAATAATAATAATAATAATAGATATAATTAGTGAAGTTATTCAGACTAAGAGACAGAAACGAAAATAGGAAACGTAACAACAGTCAGCTCATTAAGTTTGAAGAATAATATATACATCGGTAATAGTAATAGTAATAATAATAATAGTAATTATAATATTAATAAGTTGTCAGGAGAGTAAGACGGGAGAGAATGTAAAGAAGTAAAACGACGAGTTTGGTATATGCGATTTTAAGGAGATAGGCCATTTGGATGCAGTCCTTGTATCGCTGCATGGTTGTCCAGCCTTCGCTTAAAGGCGTCCAAAGACGGTGCCATAGCTACATCTGCCGGCAAGGAATTCCAGGGACGACAAACCCGCAGTGAAAAGAAGTGGGAGCGCACCCGGGTCCTTGCCCTCTGGTGAGCTATCCTTCTGGGATTTCCACGTGGAAGCCTATACCTACTCAATGGCAGAACACCTTTGTTTGGGTGATTCTGGTCATTTGTTATTTTGTAGGCAGTAATCAAATCCCCCCTAAGCCGACGGTAACTAAGTGTGAACAGGCCTAATTTCTTCAGCCTTTCATCATATGGTTTGTTTCGGAGACCAACCACTCCTTTTGTTGCCCGTCGTTGGACTCTCTCCAAGAGGTTGGCGTCTCTTCTCAGCATTGCGGGTGCAATAATATTATGCACCTCAAGGTGTGGCCTGACGTATGTTTTGTACAACATTAGAAAGAGCTCAGGAGTGAGTGCACCTAACTGTCTATGCGTAAAGTGTATGACCGCATATGCCCTCGCTACATCCCCTGTGTAATTTACGCTTGTGTCCATTTTTTCCGTTAGAACTAGACCTAAGTCGCGTTCCGACGTTGTGCAGGACAAGCTTTCATTGCACAGGGTGTAACTTGCATTCTGCAGTCTACAGTTGCGCAACTTCACTACTTTGCACTTTTTCAAGTTGAAAGTCATGCCACTGGCCACCGCCCAGTCTTCCAGAAGGTTTAGGTCTTCCTGTAGCCTATCTGAGTCCTCCGGACACTTCATCGCCCTCCATATTTTTACGTCGTCAGCGTATAGGAGAGTCGGGCAGCTCAGACGGCGTGGTAGATCATTGATGAAAATCAAAAACATCAGTGGTCTTAGGATAGAACCCTGCGACACTCCTGATGACGATCTGTGCCAAGATGATCGGACTCGGTTAACCTTAGTGCAAAATTGCCTGTCGGCTAGGTAGTCCTTCAACCATGACAGAAGTGGCTCGCCTATGCCTGCCTGGCTTATTTTATGTAGGAGAAGGTCATGGTGAACAGTGTCAAATGCCTTCTCAAAGTCTAGGAAGACCACATGGACTGGTACATTCATGTCCCAGCATGATGTCCAGTCGTCCCAAGCTGACAGTAGGTTAGTGACGCAGGATCTGCCTTTTCTGAAACCATGTTGGGCTTCATGTAGTATATTAGTCCTATCGAAATATTCCCTGATGTGGTCGTCAATAATACTTTCCAGTACTTCTGATACCACTGGGAGTAGAGCTACTGGTCTATAGCTAGTAGCGTTTTGCCTGTCCCCACCCTTGAAGATTGGAGAAAGGAAGGCTCTTTTCCACTCCCTTGGCAGTGTCCCCGAATCCATTGAGTGTTGGAACAAGTCGCACAGGGGTTTACAGAGAGCCTCGGCGCACTGTTTCAGAACAGATGGCCTGATGTCATCGCAACCTGGGGACTTCCCAGGTATGAGTCGCTGTAGCTTCCTTAGTACTATTGCGGGGTTTATTTGGGGAGTAGTCGCTAGGTCTTCCTCCTCTGAAATAGTGGTGCCACCATTTTGGTCCGTAACTGTAATATCCACATTGCTGTTTAGCTGTTTAGCGAAGGCTGAACTGAATGTTTCAGCCATCTCCAGACTAGTGAGATATTGACCGTTTGGGCCTACTAAGGCGCATGCCCCTTGGTTATCATCTGAATTGGTGTTCATTGAGGATACCCTTTGTGTTCACTTATGTTTCATGTAATGATAAATGTATAAACAGATGTAATACTAATTGAATTTAGCGACTAAATGATTGACTTATTACCAGGGAACAGCGTCGCTGACTTCAAGAATGTGCGGGATATTGGCATTCTAGGTGAAGACGCTGACAAAATTCAGACTCTTCTGAATATCTTGAGCAGATATTTCTGTATTTTTGGCATGCTGTTCTCCCCTATATCCTCTTTATTTGAAACCTGACGTCTAACCTGAATATTACTCACCACATTATACCACTTGACACGAGGGATGGAATACAAACACCTGCAGCCAAAGATATTTATTTTATTTTTTTTATTTTTTATTACAGCTTGATTCCACACCGTATTTTTGGTACAAGTATGGAATTTTCAGCGTGGATATCGGCAGCCCAAATTTCACAGGCCGACTATAGATATCAGGTGTGCGCCGGGGTGGGATCGAACCCCGGACCATGTGCATGGTCGGCGAGAGTCCTAACCACTGTGCCACCGACGCCATCTCCATCTCTTCCAGTCTTAATAGCTACGTCTCATAGTCATGAAAAGGATGGAGCGAACTGCTCCGCAATACATACTATCTATGATCGACTATTGGACATCACTTGTAGGCCAGAGATTATGTAAGTTGGTGGATGCCATAACAGCCTTTTGTATCCATACTGAGACTTCGTCAGTAACCACTCCATTAGGACTGATGTGACTCATCGAATAAGTAAAGCAGTCAGCACACCCAATCATCTTATTCGTTATCTTTAAACGAGGAGTCTGTGGAGACCGGGTGTTCAGCATTATCTCACGTGTGATAGCGACAAATTGTATGCTAGGCATACTAAGATTTTAGCGTAAGCTGTTTTGAAGATTCCCACTTTTTATTACTTTCGCAATTAGAAGGAAGGAAGCTACAGCGTATTCACCATAGATTTCGACTCTGGAGTCATAACTGATATTGTACAGCATGATCTCTCACGTCCTATGGAAACAATAGCGATGCACCAACAAGTGCCAAACAGCTACCTTTTATACAACAGTACCACGTCACCGGTTAAGCACCTCTCAACTCTTTACAGGTCTATGAAAGCCGATGATTTGATCTAGTAATATATGTCACAAGATAACGTCACTAACTGGAAAACGATTATAATATTGTCGGGACACGACGACTAACCTCAGACTTCCTTACATGTTGTAGAATCAAGCAATTCTATGGTGACTGCAAGAATTAAACTTGTAGCCACCGGACATTTCGAGCTTAGTGATGCAGGGTTTTGAAAGTACAAGACACAAGTGAAGAGGCAAACATCGTAGACCTGATCTTTTACGGCTTAGAAACTTGGCGCAAACTGAAATATGTACGACTAAAAGTCTCATTTATTTCACTAGCACTCACACTACTATCTAGATGTACGACTATTTTTTTGATTCACCTGCGTAGGTGAATGAAAACAGGCTTATTCTATTCTTACAGGAAACTTATAGCTTTGCTAAGGCAATGTACGTTACATATTTACCGGTGCCAATCAACCTTATTGTGTTATGGTAATGTAGTGCAACACTTAAGACATCCTAAAGGTTAAAAAATATGGAAAATAGATATGTGATCGAGTATATGAAATTCATAGGCATATGAAGTGATGAACTTATAGGATTATCTATTAAGAAATAAATAAAGCCTACTAAGTTACATTTCTTAGACCAACAATAATTATCATAAATATAGAATGTAACACGCCAACATACATGAAGCATTAGGGGAAGGAGAAGTTGATGTTTCGCGATGACTTAACATCCGAAGAATATTTTGGTTTTTTTCTCCATGACGGGAAAGCATCACATTAATCTTACGTTGAATTTCTGATGTAGAGAAGAATGTATCCACCACTCTTTTAGTGAGAGAATCATGTGTTTCATGCTTTTCAATCTTAAAATATCTTTTCTTTGTTTGATCATAAAAGTATCCCGGCAAATCTTAAGTTTAATAAAATATTGTTGAATATTACCTGAAGGTTCTTCCATGCTTGTTAATCTCACAGAAATTGATTTCAGTTGCACCAATTGGTGGGAACTAACGACTCTAAAATAAACAATAATAAATACAGGGTCCAAAAACAACCACCAGAATTTAATACACAGAGATACACAGTAACTGAAAATGCTCATCCGCCTATGAAGTGCAGAAAGAGCATTAGAGCATACGGAACTGAATATCATATAGCAATGTATAGTAAAGTACACAATATAAGAGTTCATAATCTCATAACTCAAACACCTCTTGCAAATTCAAAGACGCTTGTGTCCTACGCCACTCGAATCCTGTCCCCAGCCTTGCTGTAGCAGGTGTTCCAATGAAAGTGAAACTGCTAATGTGGGTGTCCAACTTTCATCCCCACACTGGTGAATATAGAGGGTTTATACCCCTGAATACTGGGAAAACCCCAATACCATATCAGTGATGCATACGTCCTACAAGAATTGAAAGTAGCGAACACTTTTAGTTGCTCAAATTAATTGGAATGCAGCTCCTGATGCAGCCGTGTTACAAACAGGATCAGAATTCAAGTCAACGCTCTGAGAATAGTTTCTTAGAAAAAACAATTTGCTCAAATTTAGATAACTGGGTAATACTTTAGCTTCTATACACCATACGAGTGAGAAATCGATGAGATTTCCAATTAGATTGTACGCTATCCTAAATTACCAACTATACAGAATAGTAAGCCATATACTTAATTCGATATATTACTTGAATACTTTCACACATAAACTGTTGTATTTGAACTTTACAATAATGATAATTATGTAAATAACTACTTATAGTTTGAGTATTTAATGGACTATGGTCCTTTACAAATCAATTATCTGTACTCTAATTAGGAATTAGCATGTCAGGTTTTTCATGAGTTTGGATTAACATGATAAATGTTGAATTGAACAGGTTGACGTAAGTATATTGGTGTCTCCTGCTGTTGAAGATAAACACCAATTCCAACTGGATTTGATGATAACTATTGTCCGAATTTACAATACACTATGAGGATAGACATTGTAGCTGCTGGCAGATTAAAAAGCACCGCTATCCACTAGGTTTATGATATCTTCGAGCAACTTGTTTAAGCCTGTCGACCTTCTCTGGTGTACAGTAATCTCTATAGGACACATAAGTAGAATTACACAAGGTTTATTAAAGATAATGAGGCCTAATGCTCAGCAACACCTGAAAACAGACAAAGGCTGGTGTTGGTCATCTCAGACATAACAATAAGACATATCGACAATCCGAAGAAAAGGCATGGAGGATTTTAAAAAGCAGTTTACGTGGCTCACAGCGCCTGTATTCTCCCTTAATTAAAGCAGACTGATAGCATACCTGTAGATATTTTGGAAGTGTCAACTGATGGCATAGATGAAGCAATACAGATTGAGGGACGCTTTTTCATTGTTACGGTTTCCCATCTTTATCTTTGATTTACTGTAAATTTACAGTCTTGTGCATTCGGACGCTTATAATGTGTGCATCACAGTAAACTCAGAATATTTCCATCACATCTACAGTGCAGATGGGATTCGGATTTTTCCATAATATAAAATGGAATAAACTCCTACATACATTTAGAATCGCGCGACATTTTAAAAAGATGCTAAAAATGTCGCCCTGTGCTCTAAGCTCATGCAAAACTGGCTTCTGGAATTTCCCAAAACGTTTACTAACTTTAAACAGCACATAATAACACATTCTCAAGTGTAAATGGTCACTGATTTTTAGTGAATTATAATTAGTTATTTAAATGGTCATAAAAAAAGTGTTTTGAAACCTACCCAAAGTTCTAAAGGGGGTAGTTTTGACACAAAACATGTATTACCTTTTCAATAAAAGCTTCGCCAGTAATTTCGCTGTATTTTTGGCAAAATTATAACATCTTTAACGTGCTCGAAGTTTACAAAAAGTCAGTTGCCTGCGGCAAGTAATTTATATGCCAGGCTATGAGATACACTCATTGTGTAAGGTCTAATTGATAATAATTGACTGTCCAAGTCAAAGCGACTGCAGAGGACTGGGAACTCAGGACCTACTAGCAGAAAGTCAAGTATAGCATTGATTCATGGGAAAAACAGCACATTTCACATAACTATTCAACTTATTCACATTTCCTACTATTCACACACTTTTGCATATGCAAGCAGCCAGGCTAAGCTTAGTTTAGGGATAGACTAGGGTCAGGATTAGAATGGACCAAAGTATGAAGACCTGGACGAATACATGTATGGTATGTGGTTAAACTACTCTATTGACGTTCCAAACGAAAAGTGAAAGGCATCCTTGCCATATGTCAGTGGAACATGTCTGGTGTGACAGGTGTACGAGTTTTCATTCATTATTTTCACAAGCATATGTGTTTTATACGCAGAGATTGCTTTTTACATATGATCGGTGCTTTCAGGGTTGTCTATCACATGCTTCATTTTGATGCCTACGTTTACCATCACTGGGAGAGCCGTATTACTCCCACATTATTCTTTCTCTTGCTTGCTTCATTGTTATTAGCCAACCAGGAGTCCTACTGAGCAAGAAATAATTACAGGGATGGAACCAATATGAAGGCCATAGAGATGAACATACATCTACCAACTGCAGCGAGATTCATTTGGGAAAATAAGTAAATACTCGTCAGCATTTATGGTAAGTACTTTTCAAAAGTTTCGGGCACCTCAAACTGAAAGCTAAGCAGTCATTTCTGTGGCAGTTCGAATAGTGGACAGAAATGCATAAAGACCTCGAAAAGATAACAAAAACCATTCTTCCAGCAACATTTATAGTCTTTAAAAGACCAGCTACAACTGAGAATGAAGGCTCTTTCTTAGCGTATTTCATCACAATACATTCTGAAAAACGTACCTAACTTCAAAACACAGCTGTGAACAAATCAAATGTAGAAGCTGTGCACACCGTCCTACAGCACGCTACCTATGGCGCCAAGTACAAGAAATTAGTGGCTCAAGGTCGCTGTAAGGGGTAGTTTCTAGAATCAATATTCAAAATCGGTTTTGCAAACAGTTATAAACCATTTTGATTTCTTTGTGCTCAGTTCTTGATTGTGAGGTATTGTTTTCTGATCTTCCGTAAACTTCTGCATAGCTCGTTCCCGTCACTCGACTGTCGTAGCTTCAGTTAACTCCAAAAGGAACAGTGCTGGCATTAATTATATAAGATAAAATAATAGCTTTATTCCAAATCATTACTTGTGATACAGAATGGAATTCTCAGCATTTTTATTACAATATTGCATCCAGTTAGTACATTAACAATATGCAATCTGCTACGGCGGCCTGCTTGAACATAGGGCTACCAAAAATTCCACCTTACAACATTTTGCAAAATTGCTTTGGTTTGCTCTTTTAATTTTGTTTTAATTTATCAATAATGTGTCCTAATCGTATTATATATAATCGCGCATTTTTAAAATCATTACAACCTACCGCGTTGTGTCATCCACAAAAATTGAGAAAAAAGCATCACTGTGGCTGGCAGCGTGCACTGAAACGTACACAAATTAATCAAATGACTGTTCCTGAACTCGTTAGCACTAATTGTAGATCCCTGTCCAACAAAATGGATTACCTTCAATCCCTAATGTATTCCAATGTTTATCGAAATGCTGGCGTTTTAGCAATACAAGAGACTTGGCTGCACCAGCATTATGATGATAATCTAATTTCAATAAATGGATATAAAGTTTTTCGCCAAGATAGAAATAGTTCCAAGAAAAAATATGGAGGAGGGGTAGCCACATATATAAACACAAATTGGTCTACATCAAATCACGTTTGCTTCAATTATTCTAATGACAATATAGATTGCATAACCGTCAGGTGTCGCCCAAAACACTTAAGTAAATATTCTTATATATACATAACAAATATTTACATAACACCCAATTGTAGCCTTTCTAATATAGTTATGTTTGCAGATGAGTTTACTGAATTCGCTGCTCCTGCATTCGGAAACTCGTTGTCTATAGTCTGTGGTGATTTTAATTTATGTGATCACAGCTTTCTTACTTCGCTTGGTCATGAGAATCTAGTCAAGTTTAATACACGTCTGGACAAATCACTAGACCTGGTTTTCATAAATGACCGTGATGTATATGAAACCCGAAGGAGAGCTCCTTTGCTAAATTCTGACCACTGCATTATTCGTATTTTACCGAAAGTGTACGGCAAGTTACAACGAAAATTGTTTAGTCATTTAACAAAGAAGATACATGAACGTTCATATTCCCATGACAACATTCTAGCATTAAGAAGCATGTTGCATGATACCAACTGGGAACTGTTTACTGACGATAAGTTGGATGCTACTGTCTCTAATATAACCGATTATCTGAAGTTTTGTTTGGATATTTGCTGTCCTTATGAAACACTGTTTTCGAGATTTGACAGAATCTCTTCTTTGCAACTGAAAAAACTTAGAAGACAAAAAGAGAAGTTGTATAAGAATTGTGATAATACTGGTGTCCGTAAAATAAACACCCTTATAAAAATTGAAATAGAAAGGTTGAACAGACTATATAATGAAAAATTTTTATCATGTAAAAATCCTTCAAACATTTGGAAACTTTTCAATAAACTAACAAGTAAAAAACAAATGTCCGTTGATGCTTATTCTGATGTTAATGCTTTAAACAAATCATTTATCAAGAAACAAATTAATATGGTTGTACCTGATGTACCTAGTCAAGAAAATGGTCATTTTCAGGGTTTTGAAGAAAAGGATGTACTATTATGTTTGAAGTCATTAAATCCAACACACAGCCTTGGTCCAGATGGTGTACCAAGCATTCTTCTCCAAAAGTGTGCAGACATCTTGTGTCATCCTCTTACTCAAATCTTTAACGCATCATTTAAGAGGGAAACGGTACCTGCTGACTGGAAAGAAATCAAGGTTGTACCTGTACAGAAATCATCTTCTGGAGCAGGTATAAAATTTAGACCAGTCGCTATAACATCTCCTTTTTTGA